TAATGGTAAGACTTGATCAGACAACCTCTCCAAATAGGCCACTTTACGAGACTTCCCACCGGTCGACCCCCTATGTCTACCATCCCGCCGATTTTCCATGCTCGAACTAACGAACCAATAAATGATCATTGACCCGACGAAGATGAGTATCACCACCACGATTCGAGTTCTCACTTGCCATCCACGATGTCTAACGTAAGCCGGAATTTCTGCAGCATGTTTCCATATATAGTTTATAAAATTTTGTTTATTTATCTAATTATTTATTTTGTTTATAATTGTTCAACAAAATAAGTATATATAAGTAAAGTAAAAATAAATGTCGTAGCTATCAAATTTTAATTCTATAATATCTCGTACATGATGTACGTTTGTTGCCATACATTGATTAAAATTAATGATACACAGTATTTTTTTAATTAGTCTGTGTTTGGTAGGAAAATTTGTCAGAGTTCATCTAAAAAATATATAATAAATGGCAAATTCAGATAGCATTACTAAAATTTAACGGGAGAAGTCTCATTTTGTCTGTAACTTTATTCGAATAATTTGTATTGTAATACATTTCGACAATTTTCGAAAAGATTCAGGATACATTTTGACTACATTTCGGAGAATTTCCGACACATTTGGATAAATTTTTTCACCAGAGAACTGATTTTATTTTTGCAAAAAAAAAAGATAATATGCTGCGATTTTTATGAAAATACCGTTTTGAGAAACTTTCAAAAGATTCATTTTTTTGTATTGCACGTCTATAAATTTCAAATACAATTTTTAATAAATTTTTCTTTCGATGAAATGTTGCTTTTACCTTGCGTTGGATTGTCCTCCATACTTGTCGGCAAGGGATACTAAACTCCCGCAGGATCTAGCAATCGAACGAACATCGCCACCGACGGATAACTAGCTGCTACTGCGTCCGAAAAGCAGAAAACACGTCAAGGGTTTGTGGTTCGGCCAGACACGCCCGCCAAAAATACACCGAGAGCCACTTGTACGTCATTTCCCTCCTCTGTACTTTACTCCGACATTTACTGTTGATCGCTATTTGCCTGGAATTTTTTCGCAGACCGTCGTGACGACTTGACGAGTGCGCGTCTCGTTATGCAACGCGTCTTCAAAAATATATGTATACTAGCAGCGCCGTCATTTAGCGTTTATAATTTATAGACTTCCAGTAAATAGTCAAAAAAGAGGTTCAGGGACGTTTCGCCCATTAATCATTACAGACACAACAAAACAGAATTGGCTGGTATTAGAAAATAATTTGCTGGTTCTAAAATACGAGCAGACTATCATAAATTTAAAGGTAATGTGAACGTTTAATTATCTCTCTAAAATTCTTTGGAGAGAAATCTCACTCTTTAAACAGTGAAACTTAAGCCGCAATCTTGAAAAGGCGTGACTCAATTTTCAATCTTCTAGATTCTAGAATGATATTTACTCTCAAAGTTCAAAAAACATACAACAATTACTATATCATCTCAAGTATACACATTTTAAGTTTTTTGTTATTTATATCAGATTTAGCCCCGTGGATTGACAAAAATTTTGACTAAACGAAATGTAAGCTTCCTTAAATTATCGTACCTTGTGATTCTTCGCAATTTATAAAACGGCTTTGTGTTTTTCATGAATTATTTAATATTATAATTATTGATGATATAATTTATATATATCGTTAACAGGCAGTTAATTCGTTCAGTAGACTGATTGGATAATTGCGACAGACACGTGGGTGTCTAATGTATACTTAATGTGCTGCGACTATAGCCCGTAAATGCGTCGGCATTAGTGTCGCTAACTTTTGAATTAGTTGCATGAGAATCCCCGTTTGGCTGCTGATGAGAAAGCCAGACACATACATTCATGGATTTATATTTGAAGTGAAGACTCGACTGAGAACCAGCAACAAGTGTTCATTATGAGATTTTACTTTTTTTCTTGTTACGTCCCACCAAACTTGGAGAACTTGATTTCACGAAAAAAAAAGGCTTTAATTTATGAGATATTGTCTATTTTTAAGCATCTTTCTTGAAAAATAATACTCGTGAGAAAATAGAACTTATATCTTTTAATTTCTATTTTTAAATTAAAGAGTCATTAAATAAAATTAAAGTTTTATATCGTTAATTCAAAGAAACCAAAATTAATCTAAAAACAATACTTATTGATCTTTAACGTTATGCGGACTTTGCAAATTAAATTGAACATGTGTCAATTTTTATCTGATACGGAAGACTTTGGAGAGACTAGCTGCAAGACGAAATTCAGGAAATGCATTTCCAAGCGGGCGTTCCCATTCTCGCAGACCGCTTGGCACCGCTTCTCGGTTAGGAGTATCTCATGTTTCAGGGAATCTCGGTTCCTGTGGCGATAGCCGAGTACTTCGACGAGGTACGTGGTGCAGGCCTCTTGTCGCATCTCTGTCGGCATCGTACGTGTGTGAGCCGCATTCAGAAAGAGAGAGTGCAAGCATCCGAGAAAGGAAGCCAAACAATGCCGATGACTAATGGAAACGCGTGACCCTCAAGAAGGAGTCGACCCTTCGAAACACACCGGATAGAGAATCCGGCCGGTGCCCTGTACACCCATTTTCTCACTCTTACACGACCGTCTCTTTTCGCTCCTTCCCTCTTTCCTTTCTCCACTCTTATATTTTCTTAGGTGGGTCTCTACCGAGATTGACTCCTCGTTGACGGAGTAATAGTCATACTCAATGAAACACCAACAACGAATTCGTGAATGAATCGGCTCGATAAAGAAAACAACTTCATTTCTTTTCTCTGCATTTTTCTCTTAAATATACATATGTGTGTGTGTGTGTGTGTGTGTGTGTGTGTGTGTGCGCGCGCGCACGTGTGATTATTGCAATTATAATATTTAAGTTAAATATAGAATAGTTTATTTTATTTGTATATTATTTTAACATATATAATTTTATCAATATTGTTTTTTTCTTGTTAAAAAACTAAAAATATATATTAACAAACTAATATTTGCAAGTTATTTTATAAGTTAACAAAAAATTATTCAAATTTAAATAAGAATATTAGAAAAGTAAAAATAAAAAGTAGTATTTTATATACAATATAATAAATTAATAAATTGTAATATAAATTTGAGAGAGAGATTCGTATTTACTTTCAAAATATTTTGAAAGAATTAAATTTGCAATTAAATTTTCTTGAAATCTCATACAATTAATCAATAAAAATGTTTATGCTAATCGATTTATATTTAGTTTATTTTACAATATTTAATTTCCTTCTTTTTATTAAATTTTTTTTAATTTAAACATTTTTGACATCCGTGACAACCGAAACGAATGATTTCTTCCTTTCTAATAACACACTTGTCTCATATAGTCGGAAGTTAGTATCGTATTACAAAATGAGGGAAAAACCTGGACTACTTTTGGACGATCGTACTAGATGAAACATATGAAAACACAAATGTATATATTTATTAAAATAATGAAGAACATTTAAACTTTGATAAAAATGCAAATTAATATATATACCAATGAAAAACCGATAAGAACAGGCCGTGACGGTTGGATCTTGAGTGCTTCTAATATATAAATTGCATATGAATTTATATACTAGTATGTAGTATTTTTTTAATTACGCGTCGAATTTTTTTTAGACTTGAAACGCAAATTCTACTAAATTACCGCAGTAATATCACAAGTTAAATTGACTAACAATTAAACAATTTTTGATGCTCTTTGCGCATCGTAAATCAATCTTAATAATATGTTGAATGACATATTAAAATCTGTAAATAATTAATTTCTATTGCAAAAAATATTACCTCGGCTAGGAATTGAACCCGAATCTATTGCATTCCGTGCAAGCGTTCTAAGCCTTGTTGATAAAAGATACCAAAACATACTTTGAAATATATATTTTAATTTTTGAAGTAGATTTACATGATTAAAATAAATTTTAGACTCCATTCCAATTATCTAAAATATATTTTTAATTGTGGCTATTACTTGTTTCGTCTAAAGTTTATGGAAACACGGAACTGAATATTTATCGATACGCGGATAAAACAATTGGCAAAAACAGCACTTCGCGTGCGTCTTATAAAAATACTCTTAATTCCCGACAAATGTAAAGTTCAGAGCAAAAACTCAGCTACCGCTTCGTGTGTCATCATTTCGAATTCTTTCGCGAGCACTGACCAATCACTTTGGCTGCGAGAAACGATTCACGCTCAGGGATTGGCCATAAAGCTGAGGGAAACATAGAAGAACATTACAGAGCTTCCGTGGCCCTACTCCTACGACTCTTCTCCAACGTTCTCGATGTTCTCTATGACATTCTCGCTGCCCTATGACGGCGCCGTCACATGTGCTCGTATGACATTTCCGAGTAGGCACCAACGCAATTCGCATCCATCCACGCGCGAAGTGATTCTACGGTGAACGTGTGCTTGCCTATTAACAAAATTAGTGATGTTAATCGATATTATACAATATATATCTGTTCACTGATTTAATTTAACGTTACTACCTGGTACAATATTTTAACCCAACTTCTGAACACATTATACGTAATCAAGAAAATAAATATAAGGCCGTAGCGAGAAAATACATGCAAAAAGATATAAAAAGTTATTGTAATTAAATGTTTTATTTCTTTATAGAATTTACAGTGTTCGATGAAAAGACTTTTTTTCTCTAAACAGATATAAGTGTGTGTTGCAATTAGGATCTTGTATATCCTTTCACTGTTTTTTCGAATATATACTTTTAGAAATCAAATAAGAGAACAAAACAAACGTTAAATGAATAACATAATCGTTAAATAAATAATATAATCGAAAAATTATTGCGGATTTATTGCGGATTGATTGTTGATTATTTTAAAATTCTATAATTGTTATATTCTCGCTAACTTTTCTTTGTCAATTCTTTGTAAAGATATTTGTACGCAAAGAATTCGTATACTGACACGTTAAAACTGTCAAAATCTTTATTCGTTACTATGTCGTGGTCAAAAAACACGATTGCGTACAGCCATCGGACATCCGATAATTTCGAATTTCCACCAACACCGCCCACACCATCGTCTCTTCATATAGAAGGACAGAACGCGAGAGCAACAGGTTGTGAGACCCAATGGTATCACAGGTGGTCTTGGAGCAACCCGTCGAATCCTTGCGGTGGATTCGATATTGCAACCGACGAAACCACTTGTTTGATCTCGCCGCCTTACGTCGTCAATTTTCTTCAAAGCACCGACAGCAATCAAAATTATCGCACGTGCAGGTAAAACTTGCACACTTGATACCTTATTTATTTAATATTTAAGAACTTTATTTATTTTCAAAGTGATATTTTAAAATACTTTAAAGATAATTCTTTAAGAAGCACAGTATACTTTAGTTGCTTTATTAAAACAGTGTTTAAACTGCAATATTCATCTATTATCACATTTATGAAAATGTTATATTTTGCATTAAGACAAATATTCATAAAAAACAAATATAGCTAATAGGTATCTAAAATCATATATATCTTGTAATAATTAATTACTGTAATTAATAAATTTTTCTATTATAATTTATTATTTTTTCTCAAATAATAATAATTTTGAATAATAATTCAAACAATAAAATTTATGATTTCTTGTATCGTAAGATCGTGTAATTACTATTGCAATATATATATCTTATATAAATGTATATTATATAATTTAATTTTTATAAGATGGGAGCAATATTCTCAGCAAGACACAACAGATTGTCATCTGATAATCGAACAGTTAAATGGAAAGGAAGACGAGAAGCTTTTGAGCAAATCTGAAAATTTGTTATACGAGAATAATCAAGATCGAAATGTCACGACTACGACAAACACGGGAACAATGTTTCGTACTTGGGAAATGCCTCATTTGCAAAATATAGACCACGAGTATGAGAACAAGTTCCAATCTTGGCAGAATTCGCAACGTAATGAGGATCATGCGAATTCGTTATTTGGAGGAAATACACGCTCGCACCAACGAGAACGAGGTAATGTGTTATTTCCTTATATATCCGAAAAATTGTATTTTGTAAAATAAAATCTGTATTATGCACACACACACTCATTCACTCTGACACACACACACACACACACACACACGTGTACATATATGTATATACGTATAGTACATATACGTAAGGTACACTAGATTATAAAATTATTATATTTTTAAAATTCTGTAAAAAAATCCTACTATATTCAAGTAAAAATCAGTTATAAATTGTTGGAAAATAACTTGTTGATTGTAACTTGTCAGTTTTAATTCAATTTAAATTATTTTGAAGCAATAATTAAGGAATAATTAATTGTTATACGAATATTAATAGCTGTGCACAGCTGTGTGTAATACATTAGATTGAAATCTTTCGAATCATATAGCTTCGACAGATTTCCAACGTAAATCATTGACAATACAGTTAGAAGTTTTATGTCTTCTGTGTCGCCAATGCGGCTATAACAGGCCCAGTATAATCTAAATGTTTATCGAATGTCTAACTGCTGGTATACATCTTGAATAATAAATGTCATGTATCACTCTCGCTGTTACACTGATATAGTATTCTAAATTTGAATAGCAAATAAATTTGTTCGTTGGATTTTAATATAAATTGTGAATATAACAAATACGAGAGAGAAATCAACAATAAAACTAAAATTAATTAAAATTAAAATCAGTGTATTCCTTTTTCTATAAGAAATCTAACATCTATACTGCATTAACATTACTAAATAATAAAAATTAATAGAAGTATTGTAAATACTTCTAAATAAATAAAACTCAAAATCGATACAGAATCCTAATAAAATAAAGATTTAGCAATCAAATTCATTACTTTAAACGGTTTTACTTCACATACCGCCTAAATTTACAATACAATATTTATTTATTTAGAGATTTCTCTAACAATTACTTTTATGTATAATAAAATAATTAAAATGTTTAATACAAAAGAAAACGGTCATTTTAATTTACATATTACTATATAAATACAGTATACAGTTCATATTATAGTAAATCTTGCTTTCATTATATGAATATCAATATACATTATAACTTGTTTCGAATTTACAAATTAGTAGCATCAAAATATTAGCTTCTGCTACTTTGTTCGGTGTTACTCTCGTATTACTCTGATAGTGTGGCCATCGATGCGAGCTATGAACTATGAGAGATTTCACGTTTGACGTCAGCTAGCAATTAGAGTCGAGATAGCGGCACGGAAGCAAAGTTAAGGGTTTCAAGAGAGCGAAAGAGAGAAGGAAAGTTTCCTGCTCTCTCGGCGATCACGTGTTGCATTGCGGTAGAAACCACGCACTTCTAGCAAAAGCGGATTTCGCAAGCGGGAACGTGCATCGGTGCAACGCGTACTGATGCATCGTGCACGCGGCTATTTTCATCAGACGCCGACGACAAAAAGTCGCCGACGAGCCGCGAAATCTTGCTGCGGAAAACCATGCGGCAAAAAGATCGAGCCGGATGATGAGCGCGTTATGTCACCACTTGGGATGAAACTGGACCGTTCTCTTCTAATGCGGGCAGAAGAGGTAGAAGAAGAAGAGCTCGCATCGATAGCATCTAAAAGAGATGTTGTCTGGAGTTTCGTTTCTTTTTAATTTCACTTGATCGTACATATATGTTGAAAATATGATACTGAAAATCAAGCAAATATAAGATAAAATTATCTACAGTTAGTGCGGACATAAATTAATTGTTAGATAAACTGATAAAACAGTTCAAATATGAAGCTTTTTAATAATAATATATATATATATATATATTAAAAACTAAATATTTAAAATTTTGTATCATTTTATCCAATGAATTTGATCCACTAACTATTCACTAATCGGTACATTTATCTTATCAGTGGCTTTATATGATATAAGAATCGTAAAAATTTTTATTATTATCCTATGTGTGACTATTATACAAACTCTTATTTTTCTTCAAAATTATATATCTATAATATATTACTATATAGACTTTTTGTCAAATTGATACACCGACATGCGTGCACACGCGCATGCACGCACACACGAAACAGCACACTGAAAATTTTTAGAAAAAATTTACCAAAATGAAATAGCACCTAAAATCCAGCTTGACCGTTAAAAACTTTAAACTTAAAATTTAACGGTCAAGCTGGATTTTAGGTGCTATTATTATAATTCCGTGTAAATTTATATACTACGTATGTAGTCTTTTAAATTGGCTTTTTTAATTTACTAGCACATTCCTTGCGCGCGCTACGCGCGCGATGGTCCATTTTATGCTCTTTTTAAATATTATGAATTATGTTTCTTTGAAACTTGTTTTGAAATCAACAACTCCTCTAATTCCTACTAATACAAAATTTCCCTGAAATTTGAAAACCTTTAGAATTTCATTATTGTTTTCGATCGCCACATTAATTCTACCATTTTTATATTTAGCTTATTTTTTTATTCAATGTTTATGTCGAAAAATTCGACCCACAGTGTAGTTGTGCTGATTCGCGTACAAGAGTAAAGTACATTAAAGCAATTAATTGACGGGATCATTTTGATCTCAAAATGTTTCTAGAATTATTTGCTCTAAGAATGTTCACAATCCGAATTTTTTGCTCATCGTTTACGTAGAGAAATTCGACCCGCAATGTGGCTGTGCTGGGTCGCGTACAAGAGTAAAGTACATTAAAGCAATCAATTGCCGGGATTATTTTGGTCTCAAAATGTTTCTAGAATTATTTGCTCTAAGAATATCCAGAATCCGATATTTTGCTCATCGTTTACGTCGAAAAATTCGACCCACAGTGTGGCTGTGCTGGATCGCGTACAAGAGTAAAGTACATTAAAGCAATCAATTGCCGGGATCATTTTGGTCTCAAAATGTTTCTAGAATTATTTGCTCTAAGAATATCCAGAATCCGATATTTTGCTCATCGTTTACGTCGAAAAATTCGACCCACAGTGTGGCTGTGCTGGATCGCGTACAAGAGTAAAGTACATTAAAGCAATCAATTGCCGGGATCATTTTGGTCTCAAAATGTTTCTAGAATTATTTGCTCTAAGAATATCCAGAATCCGATTTTTTTTTGCTCATCGTTTACGTCGAAGGATTCGATCCACAGTGTGGCTGTGCTGACTTAAGACTAAAGTTGGCATGTCCATCCATTTTTCAAAGAAAAATAGCAGCAATAATTTATCACTCACATTATTAAGATCGATTTAAGATGCGTAAAGAACATCAAAAATTGTTAAATTACTAAAACAATTTAATTCGTGATATTATTGCAGTAGTTTCGTAGAGTTGCGTTTCAAGACCGAAAAATTGTTCGGCGCGCAGTTTAAACGGCTACATATACGTAGTATATAAATTCATACGGAATTATAATAGCATCTAAGATCCAGCTCGACCGTTAAAGGCAATTTCTTATTCGACATATATGGATATAATATTTAATATTTAAATTAAAGTTTTTAATTTAAAAAAAAATTTAAAGGGGTTTTTAACTTTCAATTTTAAAGTTTTTAAACTTTATTTAAAAAAATAAGTTTTAAAATGCAAAATAAAGCTTAAAGGATATTTAAGAATATTTGAAAGAGAATTGTACTGGGCCATAATTTTCAAAGATGATAAAGTGAGAAGATGCAAAAATGAATAATTATAGGTCCGAAATTGCGATGATATATGGCGTGAACCAGACGTCGCGCGTCGCAGCCTAATGGGACAAAGTGTACATAAATGTATGGAATTTTATTTTTAAAATGATTTTTTTGCGAAATTTTATATGATCATTTTTTTACAGAGTTATTCTAAAACTTAAGGCATCACTATCATTAGATCAAGTTGTTTGTAATTCATTCCAATATAAACTGTATAGAATTTGACTGATCGAAATTGAACCTCATTTGTGTGTATGTTAGTGCGTGCGCACATGTGTGTTTACGCGCGTGTATGTATATATTATATTCATGTGTGTCCGGTTTTTGGCGTTATACAGAATCAATAGCATGACGTAACAGGAATCTGATTCCGCGCATGTGTATAAATGTGTATACGCGCGCACACGTGCCTAATCGCATGAATGCGGTAATACGTGCACGAGAGGAGGTCATACCCATTAATACATAAACGTAGCTAGACGCATGCACGTACGCACGCACAAATAAAATTAAATTCCAATCAGTCAAATTCTATGCTAATAATAGCGATATTTTGAATTTGGAATAATTTTACAAAAAATGATTTTATCAATAACTCCGCAAGGAAGCATTTTAAAGATAAAATTTCGTACTTTCATGTGCATTTTGTCCTATTAGTAAGATGCGATGTTTGATTCATACTATATATCGTCGCAATTTCGAACCTGCATGTAATTATCAATTTTTTTAATCTTCTCACTCTATCATTGTATTTCGAAAATAACGGCCCAGTTCAATTTTTGTTTAAATATTCTTAAAGTAGACACTTCGAACTTAATTTGTATTTTTATCTTCATTATTTACCAAGCTATGATTATTTAAATTTTGCTAAATTTTTCCTATATTTTTAGTATATCAATTTTCTTGTAGGTGAGTATATTTTCTGAACAATAAAATATAATAGAGAGATATGTAATAGATGTATATAACGAAACTAAAATTGAAAATATATTTTTTCCTTCAGTAGAAAGTATTAAACTACCAATATAATCAAGTGTAGAATTAAAAGAATTTGCAAATCTAAAAAATGCATTGCTTACTTGTTTTATTGTGTGATTGTAGAAACAACAAAGAGAACAAGCGATAAACCGCGGAAAGAGAGAACCGCGTTTACAAAGCAACAGGTCCGACATCTTGAATGCGAGTTCGCACATAGTAATTATTTGACACGTTTGCGCCGCTATGAAATTGCTGTAGCATTGGATTTAACGGAACGCCAGGTAGATTACAAACAAAATATAGATTGATTCACAGGGACTCCTTACTGTTCAAATAAAATTAAGTGAAAAAAAGGACAAATAGGAGTTAAACGCGGTATAATCGTTATGCGAAATAAAATACAATTTTTTTGTAACACAAATCTCTTTATTAAATTAAGACGCTTACTTCTTTCGGCTTATTTTTTAATCCTCCTCAAATTACTACGTAAAAAAAAAATAAAAGCACTTTTATTATACAATCCAAATGGTGGCTATCGATTGAGCGTATATAGAACTTGGTCAGTTCAGCTGTTATTGAGATCTGAGAACTGTTTCAGTTCCTTTTTTGAGTTCTTTTCAGAGATATAAATTACTATTATAAATACAATATATTCATGGACTAATTAGTCATAGTAAATTATCTCCACTTTATTAAAAAAAAACCTCAATATTGGAAAATCATAGAAGAAAATTAACAAATTATGATTAAAAATTATCAGAGATAAATTATGGAGAAACATTGTAAAGAGAGAATTTAAATCACATTAAAGAAAGGAAGCTCACTACGACAACCATCAACCATATCACAAACTTAAGCAACAAATTATTTAATCAAAAACTATAGTTTTTAACTTATCGACCAGTCAGTGCCGAATTTATCTTAAAACATAGAATACTTCTTTAAATTTAATTCTGATTTAAAAAATGTTTTAATTATATCGTATATAATCAAAAAGGATTTGGAAAAATAATTAAAAGTCAAAAGATAGAAAGACTGTTTCAATGAAAAAACGACATTAATTTTCATTGAAACAGATCTGATAATTTTTAGTCATAATTTGTTAACTTTCTTCTGTAATTTTCCAATATCGAGGTTCTTTTAATAAAGTCGAGGTGGCTCACTATGACTAATTAGTCTTCATGTATTTATTCTGGAGACACAGTATAGTGATAAGCCAAGCGTAGCGTCATGGCGTGAGACTGCCGTGGCTACTTTACGCGAGGCGGCGAGTTGCGGAAGATTGAGTTTATCAGATCTCAATAACAGTTTGAACTGACCAAGTTCTATATACGCTCAACCGATAGCCACATTTGGATTGTATAATAAAAGTGTTTTTATTTTTTTTTTCTACGTAATAATTTGTCTTCTATTGTATCTCTGAAGAGGGCTTAAGAATGAGCTAAAATAAGTATCTTAATTTAATGAAGAGATTTGTGTTATAATTGTATTTCCTTTCACGTAACGAGATTACCGCGCTTGACTCCTTATTTGTCCTTTTTTCACTTAATTTCATTAGATTATAAACAATTGAATAGAAAATACAATTTTTGTCTTTTCAACATTAAATATAATTTACAGGTGAAAGTGTGGTTTCAGAATAGACGTATGAAATGGAAACGAACAAAAGGAAGCACAGTGAACGTACAGGAAGCAACTACTGTATCGTGACATATTTCTTAAGTTCGTTATTCAGTATATTTAGAGTTTAATTGTACATAATTTATACAATATTTTAGACAATTGTAGCGTAAAGAATTTGCGCGTTTGCTCTCTGTACCAAAAATCCGAGGATTCATATTTATTCAGAAAACATATTAAATTTTATTTGAGCCAATATCTCTTAAAAAGTAATAATAAATTATCGATAGTATCTTTGCCATACCAATCACTTCTGATAAACCATTTGGAATCAACGCATAAAACTATAGGTCTCATACATCTGCAGATATATGCAGAAGTTATCATGTTTCTGAAACTATTAAGAAACTATTATTCTTTTTTTAAAGAAAAAATAATTTTATAGATACAAATTACTCACAGAAGATTAAAAATTTTAATATAATAATGTTATAGATATTGTAGAACCTTATATCACAAAATAAATTCCTATTGTTCATTAAGTTTCTTTAATACAAATTACAAATTAAATCTTAATTATAAATAAACCAGAGCTAAATTACATTTTTAACAGTTTAGTTTGTTACATTTTTGGTACATCGACGGGTTCAAATTTTATGCTAATCCCCTTAACTTGCAATTTACTTTCTAATGCTGAAAGATTATTGAGTGATCTTTGAACATATTTCTCATGGTCCTTGGCACTTTGAAGACGATTTTTACTTAGAGTTGTCTGTCTTCTATTTTTTAGTTTAGGATATTTATCTTCTGACCAATTTACGCCTGAGAAAAATCCAGAGTGTTGCTTCTCAGATGGAATGTATGTAGCTGGAAAATATATATTTATATATAATGAAAAACAATTAATTAATAGTAACACAATTAATTAATAGTAATACAATTTTAAATAAATACCTTTTAATAATCGGCCGCACATGAGATAATTGTTCATAGTATCTGCTGCAATTTCGGCAACTTGTGAGTGGAGGAATTCAATATAACCATAACCACAACTTTTTCCAGTCTAAAAATATATTTTTTTAAAACTTATAATAATGCAGTTTATAATTAAAAAATTAACAATAATAACTCTTATCAATTGAAACAATAAAACGCAAATGATAGGATCATAGAAGTAAAGTCTTTTTTAACTTTGGATGTTGTTCAGCAGTAACATACTTGTATCACTAATCTTTAATTTAATTTACTTGAAAATAAATTGATTTTAGACATTTTAACATTACTTGTTTATTTATGGCTCGAAGCCTTTATTTAAAATATATATTGTTTTATTGTAACATTTGAGAGCCATTTATTAACCTTTAGAGGACCAGATAGTATGGCCAGTAACAGAAGTATCTATAACTTGAATCACCGCAGCCTATCAAATATTCAGTTATTATTTCATATAATTGAAAATGTGTTGTCAAGAAAAATTTGATAGTAATTTCATTTTTCGCCAATAGGAGGCATACCGATTTTATTTATTCGTTTCATATGTGTGTGTGTGTGTGTGTGTGTGTGTGTGTGTGTGTGTAAATACTGTGTTATTCAATTCGACTTATCTAGACGTGTCTAGATTTATCTAGGTAAATATTTCTACATAAAATTTCGATAATATAATTTCAGAAATGCGTTCTGCAACATCAAAAACACTTACGCTAATTCTATAATGTGCTTTTTGTTTCCTGTTTCTTGCTGTTTGTCTCTTACCTTTTTTTGATCAAGAAACAGAAAACAAAAAGTACATTGTAGATCAGGCTTTTGTCTCCTACCTTTTTAATCAAGAAGACAAGAGACAAACAGTAAGAAACAGGAAACAAAAAGCACATTGTAGATCGGGCTTTAGGAATACTAAAAAGAAAAAATAAAATTTTCCACATTGACCGTCCCGTTGCGAACCGGACTGGCCACTGTAGTGGTCGACTCATCGTGACATAAACTTTCAATGTACCTATACATGAATTTTACATTAAAAAAATTCAAATTTTTAAGGCAAAAATACCGGCCCTGTAAAGGTTAATATTGTTTCTACTTGAAAATCTTTTTTTGCATTATTAATAGACGACTTGCGTATTATCTTGACGTTAAAGTCTTTTGGTTTTTTTCGTGATCAGTGGAAATGCGTTAGTGTGCTTCATGCAGTTCTACCAATCGACTGTGTAAATATATTGAGGAAATTTTATGATGAATTGTTAATTGCTTCTTTCATGATATTTACAAGAATATATATATTATTAACATATGCAGTATTTATAAACTATTATATTTTAATAGATTCGCTAAAAATGGCTCAAAATATATAGCCAAAATACACTTAGTTACTTAATAAAAATTTTAATATTGTTATGATACAATATTCATGTCGGTTAAATAGACTTTGTATTTTGTGTATTACTCTAGTTCTAACTTCTACAATCCTATTATTAGCATTTTATTGTTCTAATTTACGATTTATTTTGTAGACATATACATACTCTTTTAGATCTTACTACTCGTACTCGTGTTACATTCCCAAACTGTTTGAAATAGTCTTTCATTTGTTCTTCATAAAATCCATGAGGAATATGTCCGACATAAACTATTCCTCTATTTTTGAACTTCTCTGGTTTGAATCGTTTAGGTTTAAGTTTTATTAAACTTTCTTTCTTTTTCGTGGCTGCTTTAGTTTCGGCTTTCTGTTTCTACAAAAAGAACATTTGTTGCTAAATATAATAAACTATTCATGTAATATGTACTATAAGAGTATATATGTACTGTAAGTATATGTACTATTCAAGTAATATAAATCTCTCTCTCTCTCTCTCTCTCTCTCTCTCTCTCTCTCTCTCTATTATAATTTTATGTAGGTTATTTAAATCTTATAAAACATATAAATACAAAATATCATCAATAGGAATTAAAGAAATAAATAGGAAAGAGTTGAGATTGTTTCCTCTAATTGGACTTTGTACTTTCAATCATTTCTTGAGATTTATATATATATATATATAAATATAATATATTATATAAAAAAACGAGTGAATACAATATTTTTTTTATTATATTATATATATATGCGTGTGTGTGTGTGTGTGTATATATATACATATATGACATCTGATTATTAGAATTCTAATTCTAATAAGTAGAAAAAAAGCTCAACGATTAAGGCTCATTAGACTTTCAATATTTTTCAAATAAAGCAACATAAAATAAATAAGTTATTTTATTGAAAATTATGTCGAACCTTAAAAACTTGCTTCACATTTTTCACAGCTTTCTCGAGACTGGCACTTGCTTTCGGCTTCATATTTTCAACATTAAAACAACATTAAACACGTGCACGCTGCACGATTCCCACAGAAAGACGCTGAAGTGAGAGAAGCCAAAAAAGGACAGGACGCAGGACTATCATTTTGAGGGACTATAGAAATCCTCTAGAGTCTCTATTGTGGTAACACTGTCTAGTGGACAAAACCGGCAGCTAATAGGATGTCAGCATGAAACAGCGCCATTATGATGATTGCCTGTGTTATCAGAAAAAATAGCTTTGTACTGTTGTAAAATACTTTAATATGATTGGTCTTGCCCTTAGTTTCGCACTGAAACTAATGGTACGTTTCCACTGAGCATGTCACGCGTCGTCCGTCGCGTCACGAGTTAAGCCCATGGCACATACAAAAACGTAAGGCCGTAAATGTAATAAGTAAGCGTTTTGGTCAATCACAGTAGAGACCAAAGCCGGTAGCGAATCCAATATTAAGCGGGGAGCATAGACTTTTGCATAACGCATAAAGCATGTGCATAAGGAATTTCATTGGTCCATTTTCTTATGCATGAGTCATTGGACCAATCAAATTCTTTATGTATATGGTTTATGCGTTATGCAAAAGTCTGTGCTCCCCGCTTTACGATTTCCTTACTGATACATCTTATGGCCTTACGTTTTTCTATGTGTTTCTGGCTGGGCCAATGAAATTCCTTATGCACATGCTTTATGCGTTATGCAAAAGTGTGTGCTGCGGCCTTCAGGCGAGAAAATATATTAAACCGTGTATTTTTTACAATAGTATTTCAATTTAGCCTGCAATTACTATTTATTTTATTTCTCAACTGATTGTCAATATACATTTTGAAATTGTCTACTTAAAAAAATCTTTATGCTAATTTTACTTTACATATTTAATTTGATTAATCTTTTAACAACAAATATGTATATCTTAGAATTCTTATTAAAATCGATTATTTTACAAACGTTTTTGAAGGCCAAAATACTCAAATGAATTAATCGAAACAATTTTATCATGACAAAATTTTATTAAAAACTTTTCTAAAAGAATGGTGCCTAAAAAACCGAAACATTGTTGCAAATCGGCAGTAAAGTATGCAAAATAACATTGTAACTACTTTATATGCATACAGTATATGATATAAATTTTAGTCTTGTTAGAAAAGAAAGAAAAGTATGCATTATATTTAAATGTGTGTGTACATGCAATATAAAACCCTGCTCACATATTTAAATTAAAAGTACGTGTATAAGATACAATTTCATAAACTACTACAACCGATTATTTCAGCAATAAAAACGATTACATAATTAAAATTGACAAATATTAAACATCAATTTTGATCACCTTGATACATAAAAATGTCTCCTATGATACCATTAACGGAATCTCCAATCCACAGATACAAAGAATCTTTTTCATCTCTATTACTTAGCAATTAAAATTATAGTATCACTGACTTTGACAACAAAATTATGAAACTTGAAGCTGTATAGTAGCAACTCTACTCCGGATATTTTTTTGTTACATTTACTATCATTTAAACATAGGCCTGGTTTACATAGTGCACTTGATACGCGTATCAGGTACTATATTCGTATCAAATTCGTACTAAACATTTAGTACGCACGATGTAAATGCTATCGGATTATTTTTGTACGAGCGTATCAAGCAGGAGTATCGTACTAAACTGATACGGGTATCAAATGATACAAATGGCGATGTAAACGCATGAAACACATTTAATACGCATACCAATTCTTTTACGATGTAAACCAGGCATAAATCAATAATCAAAGTTGAAAACTTAATAGAGATCTGTATGTGCCTTGAACTCTTCTTGAATTCTTCTTTCAATTCCAGGTAAAATTATATTGTTTGGAGTTATATTAAAACTAACATATACTGCTTTTCCAAGCTTCATGCTTAATCTCTTAGCCATATTTGTAGATGTAGCATCTGCTATAGAACCTATAATTTTGGTTGCAATAGGCTGTCTCTCAAAACTTGATGTGAGAGCAAAAGACAAGTCTTCCATGCTACCATTAATAGAATCTCCAATCCACAGATATAAAGAATCTTTCATTCTTATTATCTGGCAATTAATATTAGTATCACTGACTTTGACAACAAAATTATGAAATCTGAAGCTGCATGGTAGTAATTCTACTCCAGATCTATTCTCTGTTACACATGCCATCATTAATGCATTTGGTTCTCTCTTACCTATAATCATAAAATTTCAAAATATATTAGAAGGAATAAAAAACATTGCAGTATATTTAAAGAACAATATATGTTGATATATTAATATTAAAATTATATACTCTGAAAAACAATTAATATTCTAATATTTGGAAAAATTTTAAGTTTATGTATTCAAACATTCTTTTTAATAATAAGTTATTTTTAAACAATAAGATATATATACAATGAAAACCTAGAGTTAACAAGCAAAAATAATAAATAACCTAAATAACAATCTTGATTTGCAGTTAAAGAAAACAAAATTTAACTGACTTCCAAACTGAATAGCTTTAAGCCAAGTAGGTAGCTAGTTTTAACAAATTGTATTTTAATATATCATGTATCATGTACTTTGATGCTGTCATGACAGAGACTCATCCAAACTTAAAACAGATTTAGGGTATTCATCTAGAAGAGGTGCCTTAACTCCGATTTTAATGACATTTAATTAGTCTCGTTCGAGATGTTTTTACACAAAACAAAAAACGTAGCACAAAAAAGAATAATTATTTAGAAGAGATGCCTCACCCCAATTTTGATGAAATTAATCTCATTCAATGCATTTTTGCATGAAACAAAAGAATCACTCAGAAATAAATTCTGTCCTACGAACTGAGATATTAAGCGATAAAGTTGACGATAAAGGTTATGAATCCTGTCATATTGACCTAGCGTGATGAACTACAGGGGGGGGGGGGGGGATATCTTGAAAGAAGGAGCGACTGTGAGCGACAGACTCCCTAGCACCACCTCGCTCTGTCGTACCAAAATTGGAACTAAAAGGGTCAAGTGACCAATAGTGGGGATATTCAAACTTATACGCGCATATCAATATGAATATAACAGGTTATACTAGTAAGTTCCTGAGCAATGCGTTAACTAATGTTATTAACATTATTTAAGTTTGCATTATTTAAGATAGCGAAATATACCGTTTCTCAATCTTAAATAATGTTAATAACATTAGTTAACAAAATATTTAGAAACTCTCTTAACACAATTTGTATTTAGATTAATATAAAGGAATTGTCTAAAATTATTAAAAATTCTTCAATTTTTATTAATATTTATATAATATTGTAAATATATGTTTTATACATTTTTCAAATATTACTATAAAAGTTACAATTAGTTCTCGCTAATTTTATTTTATTTTTCTTTTTTACTAAAAATATAAAGCAACACATTTTCCCGTCCCACTTTACAGACTGCGGACTGTCGGATATACAAATATTGAATACCCGGTGTGGTTAAAAAATGTGATGCATATCATTTTCATGATCCACAGCATCATACACATAACCAATCGCACTTAACAATATACAATAATATTTACAATATGCATTAATAATATATATACAGATACAATTTATAACAGAAATCTATAAATGTATACAAAATTGAACAAAATATAATATGCCGTACGTATATCATAATAAAATATTAATATATACACAATTAAAATATTTTCGAAAACAGGCAAAGCTAAAAGAGAGAAGCAATTGCAGAATAAATATTAATAAAACAAGGTGGGAAGGATCAATTAAAAACACCATTACCAAAACAGTTGTAATACACCCACTTGGATTTCTATTATTTGGTCGCCTCTTCTTGATATCCGAGATTCGTCAAAAAACTACTACTGATACAACTTGAACAATCTTCGATTTTAAACCTACGACACATTCCACGTAGCGCATACATCTCTTCGGAAAAATCGTTTTAATGTTTCCAGAATTTCCAGAAATCATGATATGTCTCGATTGCAGCTTCTCCATATGGTACGTGTGATAAACGGTGCAGATTGAGCCAAGTAGCGACTGCCTGTGCCTACGATCCACGCGACGGAAGCGGGACCGTCAGTGAAATCGTTGCGAATACAGCCGGCTCCTCGACTCTCGTTTAACACACGACTCTAACGTC